CATACGACTTTGGGTCAAGGTGACACAATTCAGTCTGCAACAGTTACACAGCACTGTAAATTGTATTAACCAACAAAAGTCACTAAACTGTACATTTCTAAATTGTTAAAATGGTCCATTGCCTTGCTAGACTCTGGAATGACCCTGTTCTCTTTGAGCTATGACTGTCGCCATGCTTCCTGGTTGGCCCCCTCCCCCACCATGGGGGGGAAAATCTTCTCTTTCTCTAATTTACTTTTATTTATTTATTTATTTATTTATTTATTTTTTGAGTTGGAGTCTCACTCTGTCACCCAGACTGGAGTGCAGTGGCCGCTCCCGGCCACCGCAGCCTCCACCTGCTGGGCTCTGGCAATCCTTCCGCCTCAGCCGTCCAAGTAGCTGGAACTACAGGCGCGCACTACCATGCCCAGCTAAATTTGTTTTTGATTTATTGTAGAGATGAGGTCTCACCAAGTTGCCCAGGCAGGTCTCGAACCCGCGGGCTCAGGCAATCCACTCACCTCAGCCTCCCAAGGCGCAGGATTACAGGCTGAGCCACCGAGCCCAGCTTCTAATTTACTTTTAAATAATCTGTATTTTCTTTTCTTTTCTTTTTTTTTTTTGAGTTGGAGTCTCACTCTGTCGCCCAGACTGGAGTGCAGTGGCCACTCCCGGTCACCGCAGCTTCAACCTGCTGGGCTCCGGCGATCCTTCCGCCTCAGTCTTCCATGTAGCCAGAATTACAGGCATGCGCTACCACGTCCAGCTGATTTTTTGATTTATTGTAGAGATGAGGTCTCGCTGCCCAGGCGGGTCTCGAACCCGCGGGCTCAGGCAATCCACTCACCTTAGCCTCCCAAAGGTGCGGGATTACAGGCTGAGCCACCGAGCCCAGCTTAATTTTTTTTTTTTTTTGAGTTGGAGACCCACTCTGTCGCCCAGGCTCAAGCACTGTGGCACGCTCCTGGCTACCACAGCCTCGACCTGCTGGGCTCAGGTGATCCTTCCGCCTCAGCCTTCCAAGTAGTTTGGAACTACTGGTATGCGCCACCATGCCTGGCTAATTTTTTTTTTTAATTGTAGAGATGAGGTCTCGCCAAGTTGCCCAGGCTGTTCTGGAACCCCTGGGCTCAGACTATCTTCTAGCCTCCATCTCCCAAAGTGTTGGGATTATAGAGGTGAGCCACCGCATCCAGCTGTACTTAATTTCTGATTAAATATTAATGTAGGGAGTAATTCCTGAAGGTAGGAATGCATTTTTCTAGTTGCTCTAAATGTTATCTTTGGATTAAGGAAGATCAACACATTTAAATGGTTGCAGAGTACTGTGTTGTTCCTTGCCTTAAGCCTAGGCAACTGTTGTGATATTGTTGAGGACATTGCTTAACTTTGTCACACAGTATCCTCCGTGTGTGCTCATACAGGAGAGATCTCCTAGGGCTTCAAGGCCAGAAATCACAGTGCTTTGAGCAAAGGGTTTGATTTGTACCTTATGGTTGGCATGAACCACGTAGCTGTTCTTGCTTCTCTACTGGTAGCAAGGGTCTCAGGATCACGTGGCTTGCATTCTGTGCATTAACCACATTCTTGACTACATCCTATTTTCCCCACCCTATTTTCCTTCTGTCCCTATTTCTTGCCCTATGTATCTCTGCAAACTCTACCTCAAACCCTTTTTGGGATGAGGTGGAAGAGAAGTACATCTCCCTGCATCTTCCTCTACTTCCAGCCCACCCCTCAGAGCACACTGTTCCTCACTCCAGGCCCCAGAATGTTCTTCGGTCTGGGAAAAAGACTCACATGGGAGATGATTCAAGCTTGTAAATTTCAGTAAAGGCCTGTGTAGGGCACATAAGGCACATTCTCGAATTTCCTGGAAGTAAGTTTGGATCCCAAAGAAATTGATTTCCCAGCTTAGGAAGTAAATAAACTGAATGTGTTATCCCAAAAGGTGGGCCTGTCCGAAGTGATCAACAACTAACTCTTCTGTACGGTCCCTTCTGAGTCACACATCCCTCACCAACAAGGAACGCTGGGGACAGAGTCACAGTCCCCACAAGATGTCCAGGCGATGGCCTTCCCTGGGCCCCTCTGATGCAGCAATTCCAGAGGGCTCAAGATCCAGCCAAAGCTGAGGGCTGTCCACTCAGCCACAGCGGGCAGCTCAGCCTCCCCCTGGTGACACTTCCTACTGGTGACACCACCAGCTCATTACCTCCACCACTTAACACTCACTAACTACAGGCACTCATTTGCAATCACACTGCAAGCACAAGAGCTCAAGGTGAGGAGAGCCTCCAGATGCTTCCCGCAAGACACCAGCACTGGGCTTGTCAGCATCCAAATACCTGAGCATGTGCCCTGCCACCGGGAGCCTCTAAGCACATGCTGAATGAAGTCCCCTTTCATGTTAATGCAACTCCACATGAAACATCAAGCTTCCCCCAGGATCTCACCCTCACCACCTCATTACTCACAGAGCTGGGGCTCCTGACTCCCCAGGAATCACCTCATGACCAGGCCACTCTGGGACCAGGTATCACTAGCATGAACCCACTGCCCTCGGCACCCCCACTCCAATCTTCTCAGGTCTCTCCTCTCCGTCCTTTCTACCACTGCCAATCCTTCCATGAGATCACCTCCTTCAGGAAAGGTCTAGAACAGCCCGGGGCACCCACCTATGGCTGCAGGGAGCCCCACCAGGGCTTAGCTCAGTGCATGCCAAACAGACTGCCAATTAGGAGGACCCAACACATGCTCCCCACCTGCTGAGGTACGTGCCCCCCCAGGGAGCTCAGCTGCCTCCCCATTAGTCCTCCTCCTCCCCCCATTCAACCTTATCTCCAACCTCGGACACTCAGAACTTTAGAGTGCTTGAGTGGCAGTCCTCTGATCTAGGAAGAACAGGTTAAATATACTAATTCCTACCTTTTCTTTACAAATCTGCATTTAAACACCAGCCATCACAAACTGAGGAACAGATCGACAGCTCACCTCTGGTGCCGGTCATGGTGAAGCAGGGGTGGGACCTTTGTTTGGAGACCTTGACTTTCCCTGGGGCAGCAGCCTGGAGCTTCAGGTATTGGGCTGGGCATACCCTAACCACGCCTGTTTCCTCAGTGGCAGGCATGAGGTGACTGGCTCTCACAGTCACGCTGTGCTGCTCTAATCCTTTCCCAGCAGGCAGTGCCCTGCACAGTTCTTCCCTGGGACCCAGCAGGGAAGGGGAGAGGGCAGCAGGGCTAGCCCTGGCCTTCAGAGCAGCCCAACAGCAGGGTGAATTCCTCCATTCACTTCTGAGGAAGGAGAGGCTGAGAAAGGCACTCTCATTCTGCCCACAGCACCAGGCCTACCTCTGGCCCCCTGACTTCTGAGAGCCACTTCAAACTGCAGGCATCTCTCCAGGGCTTTCCTGATGTCTCCCTCCTCAGAGCTCCAAGGTCTGCCCCATCAGTGGTGCTTTCTGCTAAGATTGCCACGTCTACTGTCTCTAAGGCGGTGGGTTCTAAGGACAGGGACTGGGTCTCTCACACCTTAATACTCCAACAGCATCCATCCCACTGCCAGGTGACTCCCACCGGGGAGGCTAGCCAGAGTGACAGGGTTAGGCAGGCAGAGCTTCAGCTTCAGATCTAGCTCCAACCCCTTCTTACGGCTGGATGGGGCTCTGAGACAGGTGACTTTTCCACCTGGATCCTCAGTGCGTCCTTCTGGACAAGTGGGGACTGATGTGAGACTGGCCAAGCCATCTTCCTCTGTCTTCAGGGAGGAGGCTTAGGAAGGTCCAAATGATGTGCAAAAGCCCGAGAGCACATCGGAGCTGGAGGCCCGCCTGTGGCAGGTTAGGACTGGCGCCCACTGAAAGCTGTGTAATAGGCTACTGCCACCACCAACCCTCCTCCCAAGAACAAACCCCTGGGTCCCTGCAGGGTTTTTAGAGGTTTGCCTAGTATGTCTGGGGATAGGTTTCCGAGCCCAAGTTATGCCAGAGAATCAGCAAATTCCTTCCAGCTAGCGAAGAGCATGCAGTATGGATACGTGTGCATGTGCACATCTATATGTGCCCTGGTGAGGGGAGAGATGGTGTGTCTGGGTGTCTGTGGGCGGGGAGGAGGCAGAGCAAGCCAGAGCCCCAGACCACTTTCACTTGAACCAAAAACTTGGTTTCAGACTAGCTTGTCCCTGGCTCAGAGTGGCTTTGGGAGGCAGGGCCTGGGGATGCTGGGAAGTGAGAGGGACACAGCAAGGGGGAGTAGAAGGGTGGAAGGAGAAGGCCCCAGATGTGGGAGGGATAGAAGGGCATTGAGCCAAGTACTGAGTCCAGCTGGGGGCAGAAGTGCCAGGAAGGGCCACATGGTGGAAGCAGGGCTGAGAGCTGGCATACTCTCCACTGGGTCCCAGAGCTCCCGCTCCTGGGCTGGCAGTGGGGGAAGCGCCTACCTGTACCACGGTGGGTGGGTGCTGAAGGCCTGGAGTCATAGATGGCAGGGTCCTGCAACTGGAGAGTCATCCAGTGCCCCCTCGGTGCCTGGGCCCAGAGCCCACCGCGCCTGCAGCACCAAGGGCCATGCTGAGGAGGATCTGAAAGGAGAGGCCAGACCCTGAGCCCCCAGCAGATTTGAAGGCCTCTGGAGGCAGAAGAAGCCAGATGCTCTGGAGAGGAGGTCTGAGGAAGAAGACAGGAAGCTGTGCGGAAAGGGACCAGGACAGAGGCAGCTAGCAAGGCCAGTTCAGGGCTGGGGTGGCACAGGGAGGGGCATAGGGTGGGAGTAGTGTGTACCAGAAGCAGGGTCCAGGGTCCTGCAGGACAAACAACTAGAAACACAAGAGCAGAGACCCCAGGCAGAGCCCAAGCCCTGAAAGCAGAAGGCAAGTTTTGGAGGCGTGGCAATAGGTGGAGGGAGAGGACTGGCATTGGAGGTGAAGGCCCGACTGCAGACCAGGATGGTACCAGGACAGCCTCTGCACCCAGAGGTGTTGGGGGACTCCAAGGGTGGTGGGCAGTTGCCAGGCTGCTCCATAGTCACCGGCGGGCCTGGGTGCCTCCTATGTGACTTCCTGGTTCCCCCCCAGTGCCTGCCCAGCCACTGCCCTCCCTGTTAGAAGAGCAGAAAGGCCTTGGACTGGGGTCCAGGACCCAACTTCTGAACCGAAGACTCTGGGTAGCGGGGTGTGAGGACGAAGGAGAGAACAGTGCTGTAAGTGTGGGGTATGGGTGACAGGGATGGGGCTTGAGAGTGGTTCAGGGTCCCTGTAAGCATGTGGGCAAAAGGTGGTATTGGCCAAGGGTCAACTCTGAGCAGCGAGAGGAGGAAGGGGAATGAGGAGGGAGCCGAGGATGAGGATGGTGAGAGGTGAGAGGGTGTGGGGTGAGGGAGCTGGAGCAGGAGGGGACAATAAGGGAAGGGGTTACCAGTCCAGGGACTGGGGTGGGGAGTGCCCTATAGGAAGGTGGGGGACAGAGGGACCACCTGCATGGGCGTCCAGGGAGGCGGCTGGCAAGTAGAGACATGGAAGGTGCCAGGCAGGGGGAAGGATGGGAAGGTGCTAGGTAGGGGAAGGAGGGAGATGATGCCAGGCAGGGGAAGGAGGGAAGGTGCCAGACAGGGGGAGTAGGAAGCAAAGCATGCCAGGCAGGAGCAGGTTGGGAAAGTGCTCAGCAGGGAGAGGTGACAGGCAATGGGAGGAGGGTGGTGCCAGACAGAGGGAGGCATGGAAGGTGCCAGGCAGGAGGGTGCCAGACAAGGGGAAAGCGGGGAAATGCAGGTGGAGGATAGGAAGGTACCAGAGAGGGAAGATGCCAGGCAGGAATGGGGAGGAGGAGGTGTCAGAGAGGACTGGATGGGAGTTTGCCAGTCAAGGAGAGGTGCAAGAGAGGGGTAGAAGGAAGGGGTACCAGGCTGGGGAGGGTGGAGGGAGGTGCCAGGCGGGGGGAAGAAGACAGTCAGGAGTGGGGAGCATACCAGGAAAGGAGGAGGGGAGGAAGATGCCAGGTAGGGAGGAGGGGGAGTGCCAGGTGAGGAGAAGCTGCCAGGCAGGGGGAGGAGGGGGATGCCAGGCAAGAGGGAGGGAAGAGATGCCAGGCAGGAGGAGGAGGAGGGGGAAAT